TGGGGGTAACCCTGCAATGGACTAGAACCTCATCCTGGGGGATTATAAATACTCCTAGTCCCTTGAAGTGTATGTGACACAATTTTTTTTTTCCACTGGTTCTGGTCGTTAATAATGTTAGAAAAACGGTTGTAAAGTTTTTAGATCGTGATAATATTTTGAAACCCCTTTTTTCGTTCAAAATACGCGCTACCCTCACGTTGAAATTGTTCCAGAGATCGCGCGGCCAAAATGTCACGTGATTTACGTCTTTGACGTCACTGTGTTTGATAAACAAACCAATATAGCTGACAGCGAAGGGAAACGTTTAAAGTATGAGACAGGTCGAAAATTAGCGTTACTAGCTAGCAAATCACTCGCACATTTGAAGCCGTGTGCAAGAGAAATGACAAGGCGGCTTCCTGCGACAGCAATGTTATCAAACACTGTGACGTCACAAACACAAGGTTCCCCGGGCCTTTTTGTATAGGGAAATTGGCTGTATTTCGGCCGCATGAAAATCATCCAAATTATTATTATTATTATTATTATTATTATTATTATTATTATTATTATTATTATTATTATTATTATTATTATTACTATTTTGCATTTTCAAAACATTGTTCGTTTATTACATATATCAAGGAAGGAAAATACTTTAAAAAATTTTTGTGTCATATGCACTTCAATGGTACTGAGAGCGGGATAAGCTGCTGCTGTATGGCCACGTTACTGTGTGTCTGATGGGTTCAGGAGTATGTTACTCAAGAATCACTTGTCCATTTTTTTTCAGAAATAGGCAAAAAGGAAAATAAATGTCTTCCCACACTAACAACCGCATTCATGTATCTTGTCCTGTTGTAAAAGTTTTCATTTTTTTAGTGTTCAAAAAGATGCCTCTGAAGTCATTTCACTCTAGCAAGCAAAAAACTATGTATAAGAATGCTCGTGACAGAAATTTGAGTTTAAAATGCACAATATCATGTGACTTAATGTCGATATCTTCTTTCTTAAGTGTTTGCTGGGGTAGGTTTTTCAAGCAGGGTCTTCACAGTGTTTATTAGCTCTCTGATGGATCTTGTTGGAACTGGCCAATCAAAGTGCAAGAGTTTTTAATTAATTATGGGGTTATTGGTTATCCAGAGTGAGTAGCAATACTTGTTGGAGAAACTTGTAGTTGCTCCATGGTACCAAAACTAGAAGTAAGGACATCCTTATATCTGTTTCTTCTGTTTCTGTTATGTCTATAATGGTTGGCACGGGTTTTAAAAAGGCTTGGGAAACTTGCCAGATCCTGGTGAAGTCCTTGAAATAATATTATTATACAGTAGGAAAATGCAGGATAAAAAAAGCAATATTCTGCTTCCAAAAAAGGCAAGGGCATCAATGGATAGTCAAGATGAGAATTTTTGAGTTATTTTTTTGTAAAAAAATAACTCTTAGTCGGCGCGTCGGGTATGTTATGGGCGGGTCAATGGATGAGTGAGTGAGTGAGTGAGTGAGTGAGTGAGTGAGTGAGTGAGTGAGTGAGTGAG